TCCCGCCTTGCAGCAACTCCCGCCATAGTCGGTCCCTTCTCCGCCCCCCGCCCCCCTGTAACAACCGCGTAGCCTCTCTGCCGTCTCAACTAAGGTTATACGATAGAGTTGCCTAGCCTGGGCTGCCTCTTATGCCACCGGGGCCTGCCCGCCACCACAGAGCACTGTGATATTATACATTACAGCCTAATACAGCCTGCTACAGGTCCGGTGCAGCCCCTAACCCCCAACCCCGCCCGCGGGCTCCGTGAGTATTACATGCTATTAGTGCGTACTGGCATGAATACATATATCACACGGGCCTCCAGTACTACGAATACACACCCCACTGATATACGGAGTATTACAGGCTATGATAGAGACCGAAGCTCAGCCACTCTACTCCGTACTGCCCTGCCCTGTACGAGCACTCTGTTGTTACCTTTACCAGTCGCTGCCGGGCAGGTCACACAATCTTACAGTACTGATAGTCGCACGACGTCTGACACACTGCCCCGCCACACCTCGAGCTGGTTGTAAATGCACTCTCATCATACAGTCAGGTGTCGTACTGTCTCATCGCTGATAAGAACAGCAAAAAAAAAAAAAAAGTCATCATCATCCAACCACCTCCGGTCCCCGGTTCATGATTCTTCCTCGTATCCAAGACATTTTCACAGCACCTCGCAGTTGAGTCCCGGTACTTTTGCCAATTCATGCATTCATCTACATATGGAGAAGGGGTGCGGTAATGACCCGCGGAATCTAGGCTACCAGAACTGCATCCTACCATCCATTGTCGTAGAATTGTAGAACTCGGTTATACCCCTCTGGTTATTGAACAAATAGCGAATATGGTGCTGTGCTGGTATGAAACACGCAAGCCTCCCGCGGAAGTCTACCCACTCTTCTTTTCTTTTTTTTTTTCGTGAATCTTCTTTCCTTCTTTCTTGAACTCCCCCTTCTCAAAAAATATCAGGGGAGAGTGCCCAACTCCGTGACGCCATTTGCCATGCAACCTTGTTGGTCCCGCATGTTTTCTTTTCCTCTTCGCTTTCTTCTTATTCCGCACAGGCGTTTTTTCAGAGAAAAGGGGGTAGATAAAAAAAAAAGTAATAAAAAAAAGCTCATACAACCCCTACCAGGACCTTTTTTATCGTATCGTTACCTGGCGTAATTGTTGTTGTTTTTTTGATGCGTGTGCGTTTCAAGGCCATCGCGTCAAACTCCATCACTTAGTTGTAGGTGCGCGACAGGTTCCTCAGGTACCAGTCGACAAGCTTCCTCCCAACCTTGGCCTCGGAGACGTGGATCAGGTCCTACTTTCGTTATCATCATGCACACGGAAAAGGAAGGGGTGAGAGGGAGGCTTCTTTTATGAAAAGATGAGAGGGGCAAAAAGAGAAAACTTACACCCTGGAGAGCATAGTCGAGGTCGCTGACATTGACCAGCTCACCATCGAGCAGACCCGCATCCTGCCAGCGGAGCTGCTTGGTGCGCTGCTTGGCAACCAGCAGCCAGGAGCGCAGCTCCTCGGGGGCGACCTCGAGGAAACCGGCCAGCTTGGAGAGGTCCATGGTGGTGTAGAGGCGGAGGTAGGACTTGATAGTGGGGCTCCACATGTTGGTCTTGACCTCGTCCATGAAGACGGAGAGGTGGTGCTCGACCGGGTCAACGTTGGCCTCGGGGTTCTCAAAGTCCGGGGGCACCGGGGAGATGAACTTGGGGCAGGCAGCGCGGAAGAGCTCCTCGAAGATGGGGAGGGATTCGGGGCCGCCGCGCTGGAGCTTGAGGAGCTGGTCGCCGTACTTCTCGCGCAGGGCGCTGTGGATGGTGTCGTCGAGGCGTGTGGGCTGGAAGGCGACGCAGATGGCGATGAGGGCGTACATCTGCTCGTTCTTCTTGCTGATGGAGTCGAACTGCGCGTTCTTCTGGAAGTTCTTGGTCCTCGATACGTAGATGAGGATGTGGCTGAACATGCGGATGGCGTCGGTGTAACGGTGCATCATCATGTACGAGAACCCAACGTAGTAGTACGTCGTGAAGTGCGCCGCCATGACGCGCGCAAACATGGCCTTCTTGTTGAGCTCGATGTCATCGAGCGTCTTGAGCGCTAGGCTGAAGTCGCCCAGGAGGCAGTGCACGCGGAGCAGGCCGATGATGGAGAAGTAGCCCAGCATCTTGTACAGGTTCTTGGACCCGTACTCGCCCGCCACCGCCGCCGGGTCCTCGCCGCGCTTCGTGGCTGCCAGCTGCTCCGTGATCTGCGACCGCTGGATCAGCGAGTACAGAACATTGAGCACACTGTAGCAACCCCACGTGTTGGGGTTCTCTCGGAGGATCTGCATCTCCTCCTCGTTGTTGGCCTGCCTGGCGATCCGCGACCGGTACGAGCAGAATGAGTTGAACTGGTAGATGAATTCGTCAATGGCATCCCAAGCCCAGTAGTACTATAAAGAATAGTCAGCAATCACATCTCTTTGTCCCGTCCTTGTCTCCCTCTATCCTCTATCCTTCTCTCTCTTTCACTCCCTCTTATCTCTTTTCAAGATAAGACGAAAGGGTTCGGGGCAACACACAGAAGGGGGCTCGAGGTCAACGGGACCTTCCGAGTTGAGGATGAAGTGGAACAGGCTGCAGTAGGCATCGTAGCTCTGGAACTTGACGTCCAGGGGTGCCGAGAAGTCGAGAGGCTGCGCAGCCTGGACAAGACGCGCCTGGATGTCGTCCGCCTGGGGGGCCGAGTTGGTCTGGCTCAGCTCCTCACCGTCCTCGTACTGGACCTGCTCCTTGTACTCGGCTACGAGGGCCTCCTCCTCGGCATCGCTGTCGCCTGCCGGCGCCATGCCGTTCTGGTAGGTCGACATAGTTGATGTATTGCCGTCGGTTTTTGGTTGTCGTCTTTCCTTTCCTCGGTTTGAAAAAGGTGGAAAGTCGAGAAAAAAAGAAGCGAAGGGGGGGGAGGGTCGGACGCGGCGCTGCGGGAATGAGGGGCAGGGAGATCCGAAATTTTGCTGTGGTCCAAGGCAAGCCAACCTTGAATTTTCGTGAGTCTTAGGGCTTTTTGCGGTTTGCGGGTGAATGAGTGGGGTGTGTGTACCGGATATGGTCATGAGATATAGCTTATATACATGCCATGGGCGTCAGCCATGCTTTGCGTACATATTATATGACTAACCATATTATCCCAGAAAAAGAGGGGTCAATATTCACTAAAGCGGGCTTCCAGTTTGGAGGGGCATATGGGCCATGACGATACCTGGATGGAGGGGCAGATGAAGAATCGAGGGAACCGTGTCTCACTGTCTTTGCTTGTGCTCAAACGAATATACGGCACCAGGTTTCGAACTTGATGCATACTGCATATAGACATCTACACTCTCTGGTTTCTACCCTCCAAGCTCTCGACAGTCATAATCCATCTACATTGGGGCGCTGCTTTTCTGGGCTACAAGTTGGAGCCAAGACAGATTAGTCACACACTATGACCAAACAACTAAGCACTACTGCACTATCGTCATTCTGAGTGAGAATTTGTCTTTTATAGACGTCTCGAATATATACCATCCTCCAGGCCGTGTCGCCTTGTCTTTTGAGCAAAGAGCGTAGACTGTTCATATCAGTACATATCCAGCCACGACTGCGAAGCTTCACCCGCTTTGTCCCGCCACCACGATGCCTGTCGTCACTCCAGAGAAGCTGGCTGCTCTGCAGAAGCAGCCCCAGGACATTCGTAATGTGAGATCCCCGAGACATCTATTATTGGTCATCTTTTGCGCGTGCTGACTTATTCAAAGATTTGCATCCTGGCCCACGTCGACCATGGCAAGACGTCCCTCACTGACGCCCTACTTGCTACCAACGGCATCATCTCGCCCAAACTTGCCGGTAAGATCCGGTACCTCGATTCGCGTCCAGATGAGCAGACGCGTGGAATCACCATGGAGTCATCAGCCATATCGCTCTACTTCTCCATGCTTCGCCGGTCAGCACCCGAGGCTACCCCAGAGCAAAAGGAGTACCTTATCAACCTCATCGACTCGCCCGGCCACATCGACTTTAGCAGTGAGGTATCCACTGCTTCGCGACTCTGTGACGGCGCCGTCGTTCTAGTGGATGCCGTCGAGGGTGTGTGCAGCCAGACAGTGACGGTGCTCCGGCAGACGTGGATCGAGAAGCTGAAACCGCTGTTGGTCATTAACAAGATGGACCGACTGGTCACGGAGCTGCAGATGAGTCCTGCCGAAGCGTTTGTCCATCTGAGCAGGCTTCTCGAGCAGGTCAACGCCGTCCTGGGAAGCTTCTTCCAGGGTGAGCGCATGGAGGAGGACCTTAACTGGAGAGCCAAGATGGAGGAACGCATCAGCGCGTCCACGGCCGCGAAAGAGGAGGCCATTCTCGCGGACCAGGCCGCAGGTGCTGGTGACTCGGCAGAGGTCCAGTGGGAGGAGATGGACGATGAAGAGCTTTACTTTGCTCCTGAGAGAAATAATGTCATCTTCAGCAGTGCTGTCGACGGCTGGGCCTTTACCAGCCGCCAGTTTGCTAGCATATACGAGAAGAAGCTGGGTATCAAGCGCGGTGTCATGGAAAAGGTCCTCTGGGGCAACTACTATCTCGACCCTAAAACAAGGAAGGTTCTCGGCCCGAAACACCTCAAGGGTCGTAACCTCAAGCCTATATTTGTCCAGCTCGTCCTTGAACCAATCTGGACCGTCTACCAGGCCACGACTGGTGGTGACGACGGAAAGGGTGACCCCGTCCTTCTGGAGAAGGTCACCAAGTCGCTCAACATTACCATCCCCCCCCATGTCTCCAGGACACGCGACCCGCGCCAGCTCTTGACCACCGTCTTCTCCGCCTGGCTTCCGCTGTCAACCGCCCTGCTCGTCTCCGTTGTGGAGAGTCTGCCATCGCCACCCGTGGCTCAGGCGGAGCGACTGCCTAATCTGCTGGAGGAGGCTCCAGGGTATGAATCCATCGACAAGGAAATCAAAGACGCAATGATCTCATTTAAGGACTCAACGTCAGACCCCGTCGTAGCCTACGTCAGTAAGATGGTCTCAGTGCCCGAGAGCGAGCTACCGGAGAACAAGCGCAGGCCAGGGCAAATGACGGGAGAAGAGGCTCGGGATCTGGCCCGCAAAAAGCGAGCCGAGGCGGCAAAGGCAGCCCGAGAAGACAAGGGAGACAGCAGCAACGGCATGGACCCCCTGGCAGAGGCCCTGGACAATGCCGACATCAGCGACCCTTTACCTGGGCCCGCGGAAGAGAAGCACGACCCAGAGCACCTCATCGGCTTCGCACGTATATACTCGGGTACCCTGTCTGTGGGCGACAAGCTGTACGTCATCCCGCCTAAGTGGTCGCCCGCGAAGCCGGATGCGGAACCCCGACCGCAAGAAGTCACCGTCACGTCACTGTACATGCTCATGGGACGCAACCTCGAGGCACTCCCCTCTGTACCCGCCGGCGTCGTCTTCGGCATCGGCGGCCTGGAGGGCAAGATTCTCAAGTCTGGAACGTTGTGCAGCCGTCTTCCGGGGGCCGTCAACCTCGCGGGTGTGAGCATGACGGGTCAGCCGATTGTGCGTGTGGCCCTGGAGCCTGTCAACCCGCTCGACCTGGACAAGATGATCCAGGGCTTGAAGCTCCTCGTACAGAGCGACCCTTGCGCCGAATACGAACAGTTCAGCAGCGGAGAGCACGTGCTCCTCACAGCGGGCGAACTGCACCTGGAGCGGTGCATGACGGATATTCGCGATAGGTTTGGGCGATGCGAGATCCAGGCCGGCGCCCCCATCGTTCCATATAGGGAGACGACGGTGCGAGCAGAGGACATGCGACCACCGGCGAACCGGGAACTGGGACGAGGCGCCGTCGTGGGCGTCACAAGCTCCAAGCAAGTGACCATCTCACTACGGGTGCGTCCCATCCCCGTAGAGGCGACCGACTTTCTCGTCAAGAATGTCGACTCCATCAGGCGGCTGTATAAGACGCAACACGAGGCCGAGGATGAGCAGCAGCAAGACGGCCAGGAGAAGATCGAAGCCGACACGGAGCTGGCGGCCGGCAACGTGCTGTCGGTCGAGGACCTCCGGAAGAAGCTGAAGGAGAAACTGGAGCACAGCAAGGGCGGGCGAGACGTGTGGAAGAACCAGGTGGACCGCATTGCTGCGTTTGGACCGCGACGCACGGGTCCCAACCTGCTCATCGACGCGACCAAGGATGGCATCCTGTCCAGGGTATTCGCCAGCCCTGGGGAGGAGGGGACCAGCGAAGCGCCCAAGGCAGCCGACAAGCTGGACCCGCGGCAGTTCTCGGACAAGATCAACTACGCCTTCCAGCTGGCGACGGCACAGGGGCCGCTGTGCAGCGAGCCGATGCAGGGTGTGGCCATCTTCATCGAGGAAGTGAGGCTCGATGTCGGTTCGGGCGAGGAGTCTCTCGCGCGCGACCGCACGGGCGAGATCATCAAGACGATGCAGGCGTCCGTGCGGGCCGGGTTCCTCGACTGGTCGCCCCGCCTCATGCTGGCCATGTACACGGTGGAGATCCAGGCGTCGACGGACGTTCTGGGCAGGGTATACGACGTGCTCACGCGGCGCAGGGGCCGCGTCGTGGCGGAGACTATGAACGAGGGCACGCCCTTCTTCACCATTCAGGCCCTGCTGCCCGTGGCCGAGAGCTTCGGCTTCGCCGACGAGATGCGCAAACGCACCAGCGGCGCCGCCCAGCCCCAGCTCATATTTGCCGGCTTCGAGGTCCTGGACGAGGACCCCTTCTGGGTGCCCTTCACCGAGGACGACCTCGAGGACCTAGGCGAGCTGGCCGACAAGGAGAACGTGGCAAAGCGGTACATGGACGCCGTGAGGAGGAAGAAGGGTCTCCTTGTCGAGGGGAGGAACGTGGCCACCGATGCCGAGAAGCAGAAGACTCTGAAGAGGTAGACAAGTTTATAGATGGTGAGAAAACAAAAAGTGTCTGCTCTCCTATACGATGACCGGACCTGGTCTGTACTACGATAGACCCGGGCAGATGTAGGCTATATATTTATAAATATCAGTTCGTATCCGTCGGTCAGACCGTCTTACAGCCACAGCACGCGTACTCATCGAAATGTGACCGACGTGGACGTCAATAGACAGCTGTGTATCCATCGGGTTGGGCGGTCTGCGACGTGATGCCTTTCCTATGCCAACGCTGTCGTACTCGTCGGATCAGCCAGAGTCCAACGGAAAGGCAGCGCAGAATCGACAGAAATATAAAAAAGACCAAGATGCATATTCCGTGCCGTTGGTAGACTTCCTAGATGACATATCATGGCCAGAAGCACATTCGTGGAACAGGCTACTGGCCAGATGGCTCATCTGACAACTACGATGATCTGCTACACGTGAAAGAGGAGAGACGTGTGGACCCATACGACGTATCTTGGTGTACATCGTGCGTGGGGGATGAGCGATGGATGGAGTATGACGATGGGCGTGTGCATATTGTTGGTTTACGAGGCATTTTGCGTCCATCATGTCCGATCCGATGGTCGAGTCTAGGTATAATGACGGTGTATGCAGTTGAGTTGGATGCAGACGGAAAGATGACGACGGTCTCGACCCCCCCCCCCCCCCCCCCCCCCCCCCCGGACATGTTTCCCATGATGGACTTTCCAGGGGTTGCGCAGTGATTGGTGCCACTACCGTGGTGGGTTGGGCTTTGTATTGATATGGATAGCACTGTATTGTACCACTGTACGATAGTAGCAGTAGTGACTTGATACAGTGACATATTGGACGGCGGTTGAACTGCCCGAGGTTCCCTCTAGCCTCGACACTCTACTCGACTTTACAGAACCGGTATTAGGTCAAACAGAGAGAGTGCTCTCCTACTTGTCCATTTTACCTGTAGTGGTACCGAAGCTGCAGTGATCCGCCCATTTCAAATCCTGGCCCGGGTGGACTCTTTATGGATCCGCGATCCATGGGCTCGAGCTGGGGGGGGGAGGGGGGAGGGGGTCACTGACTCACTGGCCACTGGTCAGTCAGTCATTCACCCCATAGCGCATCGTTACGGCGTATTACAATACATATAATACTACTACAGATTACTTACCACTACTACTACTGCCACTACTACTACTACTCCTACTACTACTCGTAGCCCTGTAGGTAATAGCTAGTAATAGTAGTGCTACCAATACAGATTGCTACGAGTAGTTTATTACCACAAGTACGAGTACATAAGATTTGTAGTTACTATAAGTAGTTACTATGAGTAGCTACTGTGAGTATTGATACTCCGTAGTTCTTATGAGTAGTACTCCGTGCTACTGGATGCTTAGAAGACTGCTGCTGATTAAGGAGAGAGAGGACAGAGAGAAACCCTCCCGCCTTGCCTCCACCGTTCGACATTCCCCTTCTCATTGCCATTCCCGTTCACCACCCCCCTCTGTCTCTCTTTGTTCCATCGCCCATCTTGCGCGCGCGTGTGTAATATCACTACTTTCTACTTCTCCTCCTTCCTTATCATCTTCTTTTCTTTTAACGTCTACCCTCTTTTCTTTGGGATCGCGTTTTCCGCCCAAACTTTGGGTAACTCTACACACACTCCTTCATCCTCTCTCTTCTATTCTATCGTGTTCTTTCTATTCATTTTATACCTTTTTTTCTCTTATCCCGTCTCATTTTAATTCCAGAAGACTTGCTTGCGCACGCGCGCACACACTCCCACACACCTACGCAAAACAAAACGCAGAGAGACACGTTTCTAAACGCACACCCGAACCGACATCATCTCTTTTTTTCTCCTCTTCTTTTCCTTCTTACTGTCCCTTCGGTCCTTCCCGCCTCAGCCGCATTCCAACCCCACAACACGATACGTACACGACTCCTCACCCTCTCCCATCATGCCTCTCTTCAGTTCGAAAAACAACAAGTTCAAGGCAAACCCGCCCAAGATTCGCGTCGAAAAGGTCGCCGTCAGCCGCCCCGCTCCGAAGCCGGCGATCCCGTCCTCGTCCAGCGCGCGCTCCCCCCTCGCCACCGCATCTGCCTCTTCATCCTCTGCCCGACCCTCGCCGCGACCCTCGCCCAAGCCCAATCCGTCCTCTGGTCTCGCCCGTCGCCAAAGCAGCCACTCACCCTACCCTTCGTCGTCGGACGAGCGTCGCGGGACAAGCACAACCTCCACCAGCACAGCAGACCGGAAGCGCAAGGCCGGCGGCTCCGGCGGCTCCTCGTCCCGCAGCGGTTCCGCCGCAGTACGCAGGTCGCCAGCCGTCGAGCGCGTCAAGTTCGACAAAGACAGCGACGCTGAGGACGACGAGTGGCTGACCCTCGAGACGCGCAAGCGACAGCGTCAGGCCACCCATGACAGCCGATCCGAGGACCTGAACCGCCGACTCGGCAACCCGCGCTCCTTTGACGGTCACCACGATGACCTCGAGTTCGTTCACGCCGACCAGCTAGCCTCTCTCGACAACCGATGCGTGCCCGTCATGGGTGCCGTGAAGGAGGATGTTGACATACAGTTGCAGTACCCGAGTCTATGTCCGCGAGAAAGGTTGGTGCTATGCCCCCCTTCACTTCCCCCAGCTAGCCCCCCTCCCCTCCCCTCCTGCCCCACCCCCCACCTTTGCGAAAACGTGCGCTGACCGTACCCCCTCGCCCCCCCTTAGATTTCAACTGGTATGGGCCAAGGACAAGATCGACGCCATCGATGCGAGCATCAAGGTCGTCCGACTAGTGGCGGAAAACTACCTCGACGAGAACGCGGCCGAGCCGTTCACCAACCACACGACAGGTCTAATACGGCGGCTGGAAAAGGCGTCCAACCGTAACGTGCAGGACCTGATGGGATTTAAGGCTGCCCTGAGCGAGTACAACGAGACGCTTCTGCAGCTGGTCGAGGATGGCGTCGTGTCCAGGAACCTCGAGTCGCGCCACGAGCTACCGCGCCACCTGGCCGCCTTCATCCTCGACCAGATATACGACCGCACTGTGGCGCCCCACGTTGACCTGCTGGCCAAGTACGAGAACGGCACCGATTTCGTGTACGGCGAGCTGCTACATCCCTTCGTGTCCAAGATGCTTGTCGACGACATCAAGATGAGCTCCAACCAGGTCTTTGTCGACCTGGGGTCCGGCGTCGGCAACGTCGTCCTTCAAGCCGCCCTCGAGGTCGGCTGCGAAAGCTGGGGGTGCGAGATGATGGACAACGCAGCCAACCTGGCAGAAGCCCAGCACCGAGAGTTCGCCGCCCGCTGTCTTATGTGGGGCATCAAGCCCGGGGAGACGCATATTGAGAGGGGTGATGTGCGTAAGAACATCCGCATCCATGATGCCCTCAAGCGCGCAGATGTCGTATTGGTCAACAACAAGGCCTTTACAGCCCAACTCAACGACGACCTCGTCCGCATGTTCCTTGACCTCAAGTCTGGCTGCAAGGTCATCTCGCTCAAGTCGTTTGCCGGCGAGTCGTCGAGCTACAACGTCAACGACGTCGGGAGCACCATCCTCGATGTCGAGGAGCACACGTACCCGGAAGGGTATGTGAGCTGGACCAATGCGGGCGGGGCGTATTATATCGCCACACGCAAGTAAAACCAGATGAGAGCCAAAAAGGAACAAGAACGAGATCTGCGAGCATTTTTCTTCATTCGTCAGCTGGACAGACGTTGCATTGCTTCTTGGTTGAGAATTTTTTTGTGTGTCTTTCTTCTGAAGAAGGAAGAGAACGAAAGACAATGAAACGCAGGATACGCAAAGATACAAACGGATTGAACGGGAGATGGGAATGAAATGCATCAGCATAAGAATGAGAGGAACGCGGGGGGTCTTTTACCTAGTAGCGTAACATTCTATACTCGTAGCGTCGTCATCTGCCCCCTTTAACTTCTGTTCTCTGCTTCTTCACCTTCACGACTTGGTCTCATTAGCGAGGTTCATGGCTTCCGCCTCTTGACCCATTCTCTTCATCCATCGGTCAACGAGTTCCTTGTTTTCCTTTTTAACCTTGTCGCGCTCTTTTTCGGCCAGGGAGAGTTGCAAGTTAAGCGTAATCATCTCATCCTGAACGTTCTACACACGCAAAAACACATCAGCAGAACAAACGGCACAGGTTAGCGCAATCGACCCATGTGATGCGGAAACCCGGAGAGAATGAGAGGTGATGCCTCACCTCAACAAGCTTCCTCTTCTCACGCAACTCATGCTCCCGGTCCTTTAGTCTCCTGATGAGCGCCGCCCTTTCTACATCGAGAGCCTTGATGTTCTTTGTGTCGGATTTCGTCTTGATACGGAGCTTATCGAGTTCCTCCTCTGCCGCACGCAGGCGTGCCTCGGACACGCCCTTGGACCGCATCGCCTCAGCCAGATCAAGACGTAGCTGGGCTATGGTAGGGTCGTCGTTGCCACCACTGCCACTGGCCTGCTTCTGGTGGGATCTGCCGGCTGCTGATGGCCTGGATGCCTCGAGGGCGGCTTTTTCTGCCTCGAGAGCAGAGATGCGATCGGCCATTTGTGAGCCTGACCAGTCGAGATGTCAGTCAAGGTGTGCGTGGAGGGAGTATTGGAAGGAGATAGAGGCACATGCATGTCTGTACTAGTTCCATGTTGACGGGATTACTGAGCTCTGCATCCTTGAAGGATGAGAGGTACTCAGAGCGCCAGTCTGGCATGCTTTTCGGTAGATGGACGATGATGATGTATGAGGTGGGATGAAACGAGCAGAGAGGGAGGCTTGTGAAGGTGGGGATGATGTATAGATGGCGTCGAGCTATAATAACAGATAGACGCATGCATTCACGAGGCGGAAAATGCGGACATACAATCCTGGCATGCTTAACTGAGCATCTTCATAGGAAGAGTGAGCAAGTATGAGAGAAACGAAAATGCAGAAGGAGGGAACAGAGATCAACCTCGGGTTCCTTTGCATACAGTAACCTCGTGAGTCGATGGAAGCCGTTCTGCTCCTTCTATGATGCGCGGCCCGCATTTAGCCGAAGAATCTCCATCGACGTCACCACGGCCCAAGAGAGCTTGGCTATCCGGTCCAGCTCACCCCCATTGACGACCAAAAGTCTGTCCGCAACCAGGAAACAAGACGCTTGGGCATGACGATGCGATAGCCCTAGCCCTTTCCCGGACACTGCCCTGCCACCTGCCCCAGAAGAGCACATATGGAGACGACCCTTCATCCCAGCGCTGCCTGGGAAAGCGTGGGCGACAAGTGGTTCCGCAAGACGCAGCTGTACACCGAAGTGTTCGACCAGGACATCGACCTCGACAACTACATTGTGGCCGGAGCGCCCTACGGCGGAGCGCTGGCCCTGTTCCGCGATGAGACCAAGCTGCACGAGTACCGGCCCGGACGGTCATCCAAGCCCGTCATCGACATCTACACCCTGGCCGGCAAGAAGTTGCGGGCCATTCCCTGGGACAAAGGGCCGATAAAGGGACTGGGGTGGTCCGAGGACGAGACGCTGCTGGTCGTCACGGCAGACGGAGGGGTGCGCTGCTACGACCTCCAGGGCGATTTTAGCCATTTCTCACTCGGCCACGGCGCCGATGTTCACGGTGTCAGGTCGTGTCGGTAAGCATCCGGTGTCTCTGCGCGTGGGGGGTTGAGGTCTTGTACTGATGGAAGGGTGTGTTGCAACGATAGCTTCTACGATACCGGAATGGTCGCCCTTCTCGAGAACAATACCCTGATATCAGTCACTTCGTATACCGAGCCGAGACCGAAACAGCTGGCGTCGCTGCCGCGGCAGCTGGCCGACGACGACGGTGATGACCATATTCACTCATGGGGCGTCATGTCGCCCAACCACACTCTCTCGCGGTCCGTCGAGGTCCTTCTGAGCGTCGGGTCGACCGTCTACATCGTCGACTCCAACGATTGCGAGGACCGGTTCCTCGACATTGGGCCTTTTAGCCACATCAGCGTGTCGCCCGATGGGCAGTTTGTCAACCTGTACGGCCAAAATGGCAAGGCTCACATCATCTCGAGCGACTTCCAGGAGAGGATCTTTGAGCACGACTCCGACTCCAGCACGCCGCCGCTGTACGTCGAGTGGTGCGGGAGCGATCCGCTCATTGCGTGGGAGGACGAGGTGCACATCATCGGGCCGGGCGACGTCTCGTCGTCTTACATCTACGACAGCACGCGCGTGCATGTGTTTTCCGGTACGTACTACCGGTCATATGCGGCGCCGGGTATCTTTCTTCCTTTTCTTTTATTTATCTATCTTCGATGACCTGACAGTGAAAGCAGAGTACGACGGAGCGCGTCTGATCACAAACGACTTTTGCGAGTTCCTGGAGCGAGTACCGCAGGAGACGCTGGACGTCCTGGGCCCGGCGTCGGAGTCGAGCCCGGCGTCGATACTGCTGGACGCCGTAGGCCAGCTGGAGATGGAGTCGCCCAAGGCAGACGACTACATCCAGCTGATTCGGCCGAACCTGACGGACGCGGTAGACACGTGCGTCAACGCGGCGGGGCGCGAATTCGAGGCGTACTGGCAGAAGCGGCTGCTCAAGGCGGCGTCATTTGGCAAGTCGGTGCTGGACATGTACAACAGCGACGACTTTGTCGACATGTGCGAGACGCTGAGGGTGCTGAACGCGGTGCGGTTCTACGAGACGGGTATGCCCCTGTCGTACGAGCAGTACCACCGTCTGACGCCGGAGAAGGTGGTGGGGCGGCTGCTGAACCGGCACGAGTACCTGCTGGCGCTCAAGATTGCGGGGTACCTGAACCTGCCGACGGACAGGATCTACGTGCACTGGGCGTCGAGCAAGGTGCGCATGGGGACCGAGGACGACGAGACCATCTGCCGGATGGTGGTGGAGCGGCTGGCGGGCAAGCCGGGCATCTCGTTCGAGGAGATTGCGCGGGCGGCGTACCACGAGGGCCGCGGGCGGCTGGCGACGGAACTGCTCAACCACGAGCCCCGGGCGGGGCGGCAGGTGCCCCTCCTCCTGGACATGGACGAGGACGAGCTGGCGCTGGACAAGGCGGTGGAGAGCGGCGACACGGACCTGATGCTGTCGGTGCTGCTGAAGCTGCGCAAGAAGCTCCCGCTGGCCGCCTTCTTCCGCACGCTCAACCCGCGGCCGACGGCGACGGCGCTCGTCGAGGCCGCGGCGCTGGCGGAGAGCGACAACGGCACGCTCAAGGACCTGTACTACCAGGACGACAGGCGCGTGGACGGCGCGGCCGTCTTCGTCCGCGAGTCGCTCGCGCAGCCGTCGCCGCGCACGGCGTCGGACAAGCTCGCCCTGGCGGCCAAGCTGGTGTCGGACTCGCGGGAGACGTCGTTTGAGCTGCAATCGCTCAAGGAGGCGGCCACGCTGCTGCGCATGCAGGACGCCCTCGACAGGGACCTCACGGACTCGTTTACGGGCCTCAGCGTCAACGAGACCATGTTTAAGCTGATCAACCTGGGCTTCTACGGGAGGGCGAAGAAGATACAGAGCGAGTTCAAGGTACCTGAAAAGGTGGCGTGCTGGATCCGGTGAGTTTTTTTTCTTTTTCCTTTCTCCCCCCCCCCCTTTCTCTTCTCTTCTTTTCCTTTCAACTTCTTTTTTTAAAGCCTCTTTCTTTCTTTCAGCCCTCCCCCATCCCCCTCCTTTTATTTACTCATCTANTAAGCTGATCAACCTGGGCTTCTACGGGAGGGCGAAGAAGATACAGAGCGAGTTCAAGGTACCTGAAAAGGTGGCGTGCTGGATCCGGTGAGTTTCTTTCCTTTCTCTTCTTTCTCTCTCTCTTTTTCTCTTCTCTTCTTTTCCTTTCAACTTCTTTTTTTAAAGCCTCTTTCTTTCTTTCAGCCCTCCCCCATCCCCCTCCTTTTATTTACTCATCTATCTCGGATATCATAAGTGCTTGTGTATTGACAGGACCAGATTACGTGCCCTCGTGGCCAAGAGAGATTGGCATGAGATCGAAGACATTTCCAAGTCGAGGAACAGTCCCATCGGATGGGAGGTAAGTCTCACTCTCCATGATCTGCGGACTTGCGAATCTTGAAATGTCTATGACGACGAAAAGGGAGAAATGAAGACTGACTGACTGGTTGACTGACGGAAAAAAAAAAAAAAAACAGCCTTACTTTGACTTGGTCTTACAAGCGGGAAATCAAAAGGTAGCGGCCATCTTCATACCGAAATGCACGAGGCTAGAGCAAGGGGCTACGATTGAAATGTACGAAAAGTGCGGCATGAGGTTGAGGGCGGCGGAGGAGGCCACCAGATTGAAGGATGCGGAGGCTTGGCAGAGGTTACTCGAGGCGGCGGGACGTGATACGCAGGAGGGAAGGGAGATTGAGAGGCTGGGAAATGCGGTGTTTAAGAAGTGATTCTCTTTTTTTTTCTTCTCACACATTTCCACACACATTTCTACTCTCTATATCATCACTCCCCCCCCCCTCCCCCCCTGATTCTCTATACATTTTTGTTTCTTGTTTCCCGGTGGTAGCTTTTGTTGAAATTGTTGCTGGGATGCTTGCTTGCTTAGATGCTTTCTTGTTTTGCCTGTGAGCCATAGTGATTGAACTCTCGAACAGGACGACAATAATAACAGCAATTCATGTCTTGACATTGTGCTGGCTGTCTTGCAGTGTTACTGTCATGTTGATGATGTCACAAGATGAACGGAATGACCGCATTCGGAGGAACCCCTGGGGGTGGAGGTGACAATCTTCCACTTCCCCCTCTCCCCCCCCCCCCCCCTGATTGCAGTCCCTCAAGATTCCCCTCGCATGGTTAGTTCCGTCGAAGAGGGTCATGATACCTGCCTAGACCCTAGGGGAAAGCGTCAGCGCGTGATACTAGCAGGATAGCCGCACCTACGGGCTACCATTATGGGCACCACAGTACCTCCCGCGTACGAAGAGTGCAAGCATCACATCGGACCCTAGCAAAAAGAAAGAGGTAGGTGAGCTGTCAGTGGAAAGGCGCGATGTGATTGATGCCTGCCTGTTCCTGTCAGATCTACCATCATCATCTACTCCGTACAGATGATACGGACGGAGCAGAGCTAGAGCTAGCAGGGCAAGCTGAGAAACCTTGCCAAAAAGGAGAGAGAAGAAGGAGAAGAGAAAGAGAAGAGTCAGAAGAGGTACGGGAGTACTCTCGTACAGATGAATAGTCAGAGAAGACATGGTCTAGGAATGGAGTGACGGGGAAATGCAATGCAGGAGCGTCCAGCACCTTTCTTTTTTTTTTGTTTGTTTGTTTGTCTTGTCTAGTCTCTTGTTTTGTTTCTAGAAACCAGAGCCCTCTGTATGTGTGTGTGTGTGTGTATGTGCGTCTGTGACACAATATAAAGCAGGTTTTCGGTATTGACTGTGCCAATGCGCATCATGGAGTACAGGATGCGAGTTGGGGGGGGGGGGGGGGCCCTCACAGCTTTGCTCGGCCCGCCTTTTGATAGTCACAGGTATGGTTAATGCTAGGGAGGATGGCAAGGTGCAACTGGTCACACAGTATTATTTTAACCATCTATTTATCTATTTATTATTATTATTACTATTATTATTATTATTATTATTATTATTATTTACCATCATTGTCTATCAACATCATCTTCCATTCTTCTCTCGAGGTGCAATGGAATGCTCATGACAAGGTGAGGAGGACGTCACCTTGCATTGAAAGGCTTGCATTAAAAGGCTTGCATTATAACGGCATAAGCGGGGAGGGGCTAAGAGTCAGTGTTGATTGATATCCATGCCCCATGTAGAAGGGAGTACGAGAGTAAGGATGCTCATACTCCAAGGATAGAGAGCAGATGGAGATGAAGATCAATCAAGTAGAGTTAATCTGCAGAGCAGGTTAGCAAAAAAAAAAATAAAAAAAAAAAAATAAAAATAGGCTTAGAGGCTAGAGGTATCGATACAAGATGTATCGTATGTTTGCGGACAGGACCGTCTCCTTGCCGGCGCCCCCCGTTTTTTATTCTCCCTCCCCAGCCCCCTCTGGATAGGTAGAGAGAGGGAAAAGCTGGTGGTTACCTAGAATAACATGTAATCCGTCATCTGTACTGGTAATCTATACATTGTCACCTAAGGGGAGGGGCTTCACCAGAGGAGTGGATGGCGCTCTGAGAGATATGATGGGGGGAGGGGGCTGGATTGGATGGCTTGGGAGTTGAGCTGGGCGTATCGGGAGTAGTCTGCACATACTCGTATATACGACGGATACAGGTCAGGTCATACACAACAGCCGCTACCCCTCTGTCCCGCTACGAGCACAGAGATCAACCTATAACCTGTATGGGTGTCGCTCGATGCAGCAAGGCACGGTCTACCGTTGCCTGCACCTGAGCCTGAGCCTTTGAAGAGGGCAGGGGCGGGGACGAGAGGGACGGGTCATGAGCCACGCACGGCAGATGATTGAGGATCGAGGGCCGAGAAGTCTTGCGAAACCTCGTGACCGAGCAGCTGACTCGAACATGTGTTCAGGCCGTCCAGGCAGGCTACGACTCTAACCAGCCAGTGCTAGTCATTACCCCCCCGGCTGCGATCGGCAGTATTAGGCATAGCGTCAGAATAGGTAATCAGGGACACACAACACACACACACACGGAGAGAGAGAGAGAGAGTGTGAGAGAGAGAGAGTGTGTGTGAGAGAGAGAGAGAGAGTGTGAGAGAGAGAGAGAG